ATTGGAAGGGAGGGCCGGACCGGGCTTTGGGCTAGTTCGCAAGCATTACTCTTCTGGGCAGGGCAGTTCGTGCCTAAGGTAGGAAAGAGCAAGCTACATACAGCTCCTCGACGTCTATTCTGAGGCAGCTATCTCCTTGGTTGAAGGAGGATTATCACCAGGTGGTTGTTTATCATCACGCCGCTCCCCGCTGTCTTTTCTCGTATGTCTGGTTCACATCCAAGTGCGGCCGATTCTTGACGGCCTTGATCCTCGTTCCTGGTTGGCCTCTATTACTCTCTGCAGGCTTATTCTACCTACTTATTCCTCGTTCTCGAGGTAACTACTTATTACTACTCTTCGGCTAGCTTGTTGATCATGACTGAGCAGGCTGTGACTACATACGTCCCCTTGGACGTGCCTCTTCCACCGATTCCTGAAGGGAAAGTCTTTTCCGACTTGCAATGGAAAACGTTGTTGTCTCTGGCAGACACCGTGATTCCGTCCATTCGCTCTACATCACTTGCCAAGTCTCTCTCTACCAAGGTGGTACCTGAATCGACATTCAAGGATGCAGTCTCGACTCTGGCATCTCACATCCACGACCCGGACGCCACAAAGATTGCTGAACAGTATCTGGAAGAGAATGCGTCCACCAACCCCCAGTTCGTCGAGGGGCTGCGGCGACTTTTCGCAGACTATATTCACGAAGAAGGGAAAAGCGGCATCAATCTCATCCTTAATGCTCTCAAGTATGTCGCCTCGCCACCTTTTATATTGTCGACTGACCAAGTAACAAAATCTAGTTCCAAAGCTGGTTCACTCATTCTGACTGGCTCTACCACTCCCATTCAAGACCAACCGTTCGAAGTCCGCGAGAGGACCTTTAGGGCTTGGGAAACTTCCCGAATCAAGCCTCTTCGTGCCATCTATAGGGCGTTCACGGCCATGTTTAAGAAGACTTGGACCTCGGCGAGCCCCACGATCCGTTCAGTCGTTGGCTGCCCTCGCGTTCCCATCCACGGCAAACCTGCGGATGGTTTCGAATACGAGTTCTTGCAATTTCCCCCTGGCGACGAACCTGAAGTCATAGATACCGATGTTGTGATCGTAGGGAGCGGTTGCGGTGGTAGTGTCGCTGCCAAAAACCTAGCCGAGGCTGGGTACAGAGTAATAGTCGTGGAGAAATCCTACCATTACCCATCCAAGTACTTCCCTATGAATTTCAACGAGGGCTTTGTCAGTATGTTCGAGAGCGGAGGAGCAACGACGAGTGACGACGGGTCGATGGCCGTCCTCGCTGGTTCCACATGGGGCGGAGGCGGCACTGTCAACTGGTCGGCTTCGCTGCAGACACAGGGCTACGTTCGCCGAGAATGGGCAAGCAATGGGCTGCCGTTTTTCGAGTCTCATGAATACCAGCAGTCCCTGGACCATGTCTGCGATCGGATGGGTGTCAGTAGTGACTACACCGAGCATAACTATGGCAATCGTGTTCTCCTTGACGGGGCCCGGAAGTTGGGATATGCAGCCAAGCCTGTCCCTCAGAACACAGGCGGAACGAGACACTATTGCGGATACTGTACGATGGGCTGCCATTCCTGTGGCAAAAAGGGGCCCAGGGAAACTTTCCTGGCCGATGCTGCCAAGGCTGGTGCCACGTTCATTGAAGGGTTTCGCGCGGATAAGGTTCTTTTCAAGATGACCAAGGGCGGACGGGTGGCGTCTGGAGTGGAGGGAACCTGGACCTCCAGGGACTCTTATCTGGGAACCGCTGGGCCGGACCGCACCAGCCGCAAGATGATCATAAACGCTGCTAAAGTCATTGTTTCCTGTGGAACATTGCACAGCCCGCTGTTGCTGCTGCGTAGCGGACTCAAGAACCCACAAATCGGGCGTAACCTCTACCTCCATCCTGGTGAGTCTTGAATTGATATGGCCCGCCTCCGAGACTTTTGCTAACAACTATAGTTGTCCTGTCATGTGCCGTCTTTGACGAGGAAATCCGTCCGTGGGAAGGTGCCGCGTTGACCACAGTCGTCAACGAGTTTGAAGATCAGGACGGCCATGGTCACGGAGTCAAGATCGAGAACGTTGTAATGCTTCCTGCCTTTTATCTTCCGACATTCCCATGGCGAGACGGATTGGATTACAAGCTCTGGGCGGCCAAGTTGCCCCGCATGAGCGGATTCATCGCTCTGACCAAAGAACGAGACGCGGGACGAGTGTACCCCGACCCTGCAGATGGCCGTGTCAGGATTGACTACACAGTGTCGGCCTATGACCGGAAGCACATTGTCGAAGCTCTGATTGCGACGGCAAAGATAGCATACATATCCGGGGCAAGGGAGTTCCATATCTCGAACCGCGAAATGCCGCCATTCATCCGTCCCACGGAGGCATCGGATCCCGATGCGCCCGAGGGCGTCACCAACGCGGCACTTCAGGCGTGGATTGCCGACCTCCGGCGCAAGAATCCTGTCGATCCTGAGCGCACACAGTACGCCAGTGCTCATCAGATGGGTACCTGCCGCATGGGGACGTCCCCCAGGACGAGCGTCGTCGGCCCGGACTGTCAAGTCTGGGGCACTCAGGGTCTGTACGTCATGGATGCGTCTGTCTTTCCCAGTGCTAGCGGTGTGAATCCGATGGTGACGAACATGGCGATTGCGGACTGGGCTAGCCGGAATGTTGTTAGGACTTTGGAGAAGGCGAACTATGGCAAGAGCGTGTTGGCTCGTCTATGATACCTACGGACTGCTCCAAGCATATCATTACATTACTTGTTGAATCCTGATGATATCCATAGCTGTTTAGTATTAGCGTCGGCAATTCATTTTTCCCCATAATTCAGCATGCACGTAGTAAGGCGGTTCATTGGACAAGATCCTTGGATGTAAATCAATTGCTTGGATAGATGCTATTTGGTATCGTGCTATGCTAAAGTATGACGATTTAAGCCTTGGGAGTCTCACGCTTTTCGACGAACTTCTTCTCACCAAATGCCTGCTTGACACCGTCGCTCTCGATGGTCTTCTCGTACCAAGAGACGACGAAGGGGTACTTCTGGCGCATCTCGCGGTCAATGACAATGGAAAAGCCCCAGTAGAGGGCAGCTGCAACGGTGATATCCGCCAGACTCAGCTTCTCCTCGGTGGCCACCCAGTTGCGGCCTCTGAGGTGGCCCTCCAGGTGTGTCAGCGACCTCTCCAACTTATCCAGGTTCTTCTTCTCAACACTCTCGTCAAACGGCCCGTAACCCAGCCGGGGCACAACCAGCTGAATCACAGGACCCTGGATCTCCCCATCGGCGAAGGCGATCCACTGGCGGATGGCGGCGCGCTCGGCGGGCTTGGTGCCCAGCAACTGTCCAGCAGCGGGACCACTCTCGGCGACGTACTGCGCGATGGCATCAGACTCCACGATCTTGGTGCCATCCGCGCCTTCGAAGGCGGGGACTTTGCCGAAGGGGAATTTGGCGAGGAACTCGGGGGTGCGGTTGTCGGTGCCGAATTGGAAGGCGGGGGTTGAGATGGTGAGGTTGTTGAGGTTGGCGGCGGAGAGGATCTAGTTTGTTTAGTCCGCTGTAGATACAGGGTAGGGGAGAGATGCGGAGGGGACGTACCTTCATGACCCGGGGGTTGTTGGGGTAGGAGTAGACTGTTCCGAAAGACATTTTGATGGGTTGCGTTTGAGTTGATGGTTCGTTGATTTGTTAGGATGAGTAGATGGTATGTCTTTGCGAGATGTTGTCAATCGGTAGGTAGACTGCTTATGTAGGCATCATTCTTATTGCGTCTCATATAGCTCTCCAAGTGTTGCATTTCCAATGATGACAAATGGAGCATAGAGGTGGTACCGAGTGGGGTGGAAGGAGATGGAATCGCGGAATCATCTTCTAGGATATCTGACCGTCGATCTTGATGTAGAGTGTTGTTGATGGATGTGGTCGGGTTCATTTCGTCTTTTCTAGAAGTGACAGGATAGAAGTATATAGAATGATACTTGAGATGCACTATCGTATAGTGCCAGTTTGCCACTGAATTTAAGCTTAAGGGCCCCTAAGCTCCTGGCGCCAGGGGTCGAGCGAGGATGTCCTATCGGAGGTGATGGGGGATGGGCTAGTGTATGGCGACATTGTGAAGAATTATGAGCAAGCATCAAAATAAGATAGAGATAGACAGATATCTGGTTGTTATTCGTTCTTAACCATGGATACAGCAATATCTTTGATGCATTAGTTGTTGATATGATTGATTGATTCGATGAACCCCGCATTTTGATTCTATCAGTGACATTCTCCTGATCTTCTCCTCTTAGGCACCTTAGATGCGCTCTTCGCATCGAGCCATCGCCATCTCAACAAATACAAGTTGATCATAATAATACAATGTGACAGGAGCAATGAGACCATGCAGGATATGGATAACCCGGGGAGGAAAACAACTCTCCTCTGTCTCCCTCCTGAACTCCACCTCCTCATCGGCACCTACCTCCCATTCCCCGATATCATCTACTTTCGCATAACATGCGCATATCTATACGCGCTCCTGCCACCCCTCACTCACTCGCAACTTCTCCTGGCCGAAACCACCGGCTACGCTTTATCCAAGGACATCTACGCATGCCGATACTGCCTGCGTCTGCGTCCCGCATCTCGGTTTGCTGATCGGATGCGCCATCGGAGACGGAGCAGGTACGGTCGGGACGCGGAGAAGCGGTTTTGTGTCGAGTGTGGCTTGCAGCCGCGGAAGGGGACGGATGGAGAGGCGAGGTATGGGCCTGGGGCGCAGGTGCGGATCGATGGGGTTCTGTATGTGATTTGTATCACTTGTCGGAAGTTTGCGCTGGGGTATGCGGGCGGGATTGAATGTCACGACTGTGGGCTGGAGAGGGAGAGGGTGCGACAGCAGAAATTATTACTGGAGAGGAGAGGTTCAGGCGTGTACGGCGAGGCTACGGATGAAGGCTAACATGGCCATCGTGCATTTTTCACGTCAGTCTATCTATCAAGCTGTCGATTAGTCCTGTCGAGCGGGATCCTGCGCCGGCTTGTTGCCTAGATTCTCGTCGATCTGCGCCATCACTTCGGGGGTGAGCTTCGGGAGCAGCTTCAGGCTTTCGACGTTGTCGACGATTTGCTCCGGTCGCGAAGCGCCCGTGATGACCGAGGACACGTTTTCGTTCTTCAGGCACCATGCCAGCGCCAGTTGCGACAGCTTGACTCCCAGTTTATCCGCCAACTCCTGCTTCGTGTTAGTGCGGGCCTAGAAAGGCGACGGAGGAATGCTTGCCTTCAGACCGACGATCTTCTTGATAGTCGACGCCCATTCGTCATTACCATAATTTTGCCGGACGCTGCTGGCGAACCGATCATTGCTCTCGGCGAATCTCGAACCAGGGGGAGGCTGCGTCGTCGCATCGTTGTATTTCCCGCTCAAGAGACCCATTTTCAGTGGGGAGAAGGTGGTCAGACCGATCCCGCAGCGCGAGTACAGCCGCTGAAACTCCCCCTCGACCTTTCGTCTATCCAACATGTTGTAAAGCGGCTGCTCGACGATGGGCGCGATGAGACCTAGCGACCGGGCGATGCCGCAGGCCTCGGCGATCTCGTCTGCCGACCACTCGGATGTACCCCAGTAAAAAGCCCAGCCCTTCTCGATCACATGGTTGAAAGCGCGCACCGTCTCCTCCATCGGCGTCAGACGGTCCGGTCGGTGGGCGTAGATGATATCGACGTATTCGAGCTGCAGACGTTCCAACGACGCCCGGGTGCCTTCGATGATGTGTTTGCGCGATAGACCGTGGTTGTTGATCAGGATTTCACCGTTCGCCATGCCCCAGTTGAGCTACGTCTGTCAGCCTGGGTTATTGATAATTGGCCCGAGGACGAACCTTTGTGCTGATGACCAGGTCGCTTCGCTTCCACCCGAATTTCTTGATGGCTTGGCCCATGACGATTTCAGATTGTCCGTTTGCATAGCTGCTTCATGAGCTTGGCCATTATACAGGAGTGAAGGGCATACCTTTCTGCTGTGTCGAAAAAGTTGACTCCGCAGTCATATGCTTGTTTCATGCAGTTGAAGGTGATCTCTGGATAGTAGTCTCAGCGCTATTCTTGCGTTCAAACACCGAGGCAATTACCATTATCGACGTGACCACCGAAACTGTCAAAGCGCATGTTAGAAAGTGTTGTATGCTTGAAACCGAACAAACCCACGTTAACCACCCTCCCAATCCAATGACGGAGACATGTAGACCCGAGTTGCCTACTCGTCGGTAGAGCATGTCTTTGTTCTTGTTAGGCCACGCCATACTGGAGAGCAATCGATTGATTCCTGGAAGAATTCTTCTATGCTTTCGAACTAATTTTCAAAAGAAAAGGGCGTTTGAGCCAATTTATCGTCTTGGCTAACAGCTGTAGCCTTCTATCGCAAGTCGCAAGATGCACGACAGTCTAAGCGGATCGGGGACCTTAAAGGGAGATTGGTCAACCTATTGTTTCGTAGAAGTGGGATGACCCAAGCTCATAATCTTTGCTGTGCAAGTAGAGCTCCATTTCCTTTTTGCCAATATAGCCGGCACCAATCATGGCCATAGTTGGTTACAGGCGCGGGGGTGGTGCGGAGTAGGGAGAGTTCTCGGAGTAATACTCGGAGGGTCCTTTTCATCTTGGGTTAGTGCTGAAGACAGTGAACGAGACCCACGGAACTGGGAACAGTGTCCAAGCCTCCAGGGGGTTTGATAAGACTTAGTCTGCATGTTGGAATGAGATGATGGCAGTAGGATCCTTCCTGGGTCTAGCATGAATGTGTCGGCCTTTTGATGTCCGGTTTACGGTCCAGCCAGAAACTCAACACCATAGTGGGCCTAGCGATGGCGTGCCGCGTGGAGAAAGTAACGCAACTTTGGGCTTGTAGCATGCAAGATCGCGGGTCGATAATGACAAGCTTTGTTTAATGCTGACTTTTGAAAAAATATTGTGAATTTGTCCAGGGTACTCTGTACATTTGACGACTTCAACAAACAATACTTTGTTACAGCTGGTCTTGCACTCTCAATTATTCCACCGAGTCCCTTCAGCGTACCTTGGGACCTTGAGACCTTGCGTTCATCCTTTGGCTTGGCTACCCCGCAGTCTACAAGCAGATGAGCGTGTTCTACTCATCTGGACTGCCATCAAGGTTTAGAATCACCCTACAGTCAACGCTCTCCCAAAACGTGGTCGATAGAGGTCATAATTGCTCATCTCATGAGCTTATACACCGGTCGATGCTCATGATGCCTTGAGCGTCTATCACCATGCCGGCTTCACGATCAAATGTGACCAAACGTGCCTGTGACGGGTGCAAGATTCGCAAGATTCGTTGTGGAGGCGGGCAGCCATGCCAGGCGTGTACCAATTCACGCATCAGATGCACCTACATCCGCGTTCAGCAGCCTCGAGGGCCGCAGCGTTTGCGCTCGACGACAAAGTATCTCATTGAGCAGACCCAGCGTGGACTCGATGCTCAAAATGAGGGATGCGCCTCTGCTCCAGTCGAACAGGCTGGCCGTCAAGGCTATCAAACAGAGAAGTACGTATTGAAACATCTGTCTCTCACATTTCTGGACCTATCTGACTGCAACAGATTGCGAATACCGACCAACATCCTTGCTCCCCCGCTCTACGTATACCACATGCGCATGTATCCAGTTTGGCCCATCGTCAATGTCGAAAGCCTCATCTCGGTACTACAAGAAGATACAGAACGAAGGGATCTGTCGACGTACACCTTGGCGACAGCCGTCGCAGCAGCGACGCTGGCTCAACTCAAGCTCGAAGATTTGACTACAGGTGACTCGCCCACCGCAGACGCATTCGCAGCGGAGTGCCTGCACGCTCGTGATTCGTGTGGATATAGATCAAAACTAAGCTTGGACAATATCCGGACATCCTTTTTCCTACATGTATACTATGAGAACCAACAATCTGGAGGAAGTGAGTCGTTGCTTTATTTGAGGGAAGCCATTACCATGGCGCAAATGATGCGCCTACATCAGGAGGCTTCTTACATCGGACTCAGTCCAGAGGAACAGCAACTCCGCCGTCGCATTCTATGGCTGCTTTTCGTGACGGAACGGTAATTATCCATCTACTCATGATCCATGCTATCCTGACATGGTGTGTAGGGGTGTTTGTATCCTCCACCAACTTCCGGTGATACTCCGAACTACCATCTCGACCCCTGGGCTTGACGTCAATGACGAGCCGCAAATCTTACCAGCATTCCTGAAATTGCTCAACCTATTCCGCCTCTTCGAAAAGTCCAGGATGTTTGATGTTATAGAATGCGAGAGCGTTGGTACTCATGACCTAAGCGGAGCGGGACCGGACGGTAGATTCCTCAAACTGCTACAGGATGGACTGCAGGACGGGTCAGCACTGCTGGACCATACGTCGGACGTGCAGAAAGCAGATCTATGTGTCACCCGGCATTGGATGCGTCTGATCCTATGGAAGAATCTATCAAGAAACAGGACGACAAGCGGACATTCACCGACGTCGCTTTTCTCACCGTTATTCCCAGTGATGGTCGCGAAGGAGCTCATGGCCATAGTAACTCAGTTACCAAGACCGGCGATCGAGGCGCATGGCTTGGGGATGGTATGGATTTCCTTCTTCTATGTGGCGCCGCTGACGTTTGTAGGAGTTGAAGCTGTACGAAATTGCCAATTCGCTGGCGGATGCGGTTATGAATCTGGCAATACTCCCGCGGCCTCCTGTTTGGGACGTCGAGAGTCGTCCAAGCCAGATTTTGGCCCGCTTACATGCCATTCTTTCAACATTTCGGGGAGGTGGCAACAAGCAGCTGGTGGAATTGCTGTGTAAGAAGATGGCCGAGGTGCAGTCGATTAGTGGACTCACATTGGGAGCGTCGCTCAAAGCCCCGGCTGGCAGGCCGCAACTTCGGCAGTCATCGGAATCATCAACGTGTAGACATGCAATCACCGAGAATGCATTCCTCGACCAGCCACCGTCCGAATCGAGTCAGGTGATGACAATGGCGGGTTGGTTCAATTTTGGGCCTTCATACACATTGTACGAAGGTGGAGACGCGCAGCCAGATCGTTCTGACGGCTGCTTCTTACCTGAGGATACGATCACTGCGATAGCCTCGACATCTGACAATTCCTCCGACGCATGGACCACAGAGTCCCGGATCATCACCGAAGACATCGGGGAGATGGCGTCCCTCTTTACCTCTTTGCCATTGTGGACAACCTCTGAAGAGGAATTCCTCGAGGAGTGTTCAAGAAATGACACCCTCACATCATATGAAGCTTCCTTACCCAATGAGGATATGACTTTCTGGCACGCACCGATAGTAGGAACTTGAACCGGGCACCAGAACTTGTTTATTAGGCGTCGCTATATACCTGACATTATACTTGTACAATGATCTCAATACTTGAAACGGAAATCTAGACGTTTGTTGCCCTCCTTCTCTCTCGCCTCCTGATCCGACTGGTACAAGACCTTCTCCTCGGCCGACATGGCGCTCCACTTCTTTTCCTTTTGCCGGTTGAGATAGCGCAGGAACTCGCGCTGGGAGACAAAGACGATGAGCGCAAGCACACAGATGGAGATAAGCACCTTGTTGCCCCTGTAATAGTACGGCGAGTCATCGGCGCGATAGATTTCTGCCTCATTAGTTTTGCCTGAACATACCGAAATACACAACGGAACTTACGAGACGAAATAACCGAGCCAACCTGGACAATCACATTATACGTCGCCGCCGTGATAGCCCTCTTCTTCACATCGAACGTATTCTCCGAGATCCAAGACGAGACAATAGGATGGAAATACGGATACCCGGAGATCATGGTCGTGATCGCGAACCGCGGCCAGTTATACCCATGCGCCGGCAGGGCGAGCAACGACGCCAGCAGCGGCAACGACCACAGCTCGCCGATGAAGCAGTGGAACGTCCGCTCCTTGAAGAAATCGCTGCTCTTGGACAGCGTCAGCATGAGGATGATCTGCAGTGCGGCAGAGGGGATGGAGAGCATGTTTGCGTCGAAGGTGGAGAAGCCGAGGCGTTTGAGTGTGAGCGAGAGGTATGCTTGCACGGGTGACTGCGGGATGTACGCGACCAGACCGATCAGATACAGTCCCCACATGGACTTGTCGCTCCAGGCGTTGAGGATGTCGGTGAGGGTGGCGCGGTCGTGGATGTGGGTGAGGCCTTTGGAGGGGTCGTCGCGGAGGAGGCGCTTCATCATTTGTTAGTATGGGTAGCATTAGTGAAGTGAAGACATACATTAATCATGATGACTTCCTCGCGCTCGGTGTACCACGAACGAGGGTAGAGGACGCTCTTGGTGTGCGTAGGCGAGTGAGGGAGGTAGAAGAAGCTCTGCTTTCGTCAGTCGCTGCCATCCAATGGAGCTCAGTACAGTACATACAATCAACCCAATAGTAAAGGTCAGCAATCCCTCAATCAGAAACAGCCAGAACCACCCCGTGTGGCCGCGGACACCGCGCATCTGTAGAATCCCCGCAGCCAGCAACGAGGAGATAATACGTGCAACCTCGCACCCGTCAGCATCACAGCCATTCAATCTGGTGTCTACGAATACTTACATTAAGCGTGGACCAGAAAAACGACAACCGCACGGACAGCTCCCCCGTCTTGTAGAAATACGTCGCGAAGAGAATCGTCCCGGGGATGAACCCGCCCTCGCACGCGCCGATCAGCGCGCGCGTCACGTAGAACGTAGCCCGGGAGGTCATCCACGCTTGCGTCCAGGAGACGAGACTCCAGGCCATCATCATGCAGGGCAGGACGCGCTTGAACCCGAAGCGCTTGGTGAGGAGCTGGACGGGGAATTCGGCGGCGAGGAAGCAGACGAGTTGGATTGTTGTGCCCTGCATCGTCGTCGTCAGTGGTATTTCATGGAGAATTGGTGAGTAGGTACATTATTGTAGTCATTTGTGGTCAGTTTCAGGTCCTTGAGGAAGTTGTCCGTTAATGCATTGGAGAGATTGCCGCGGTCGAGTTGGAGGCCGAAGAACTGTCATTATCAGTACTGTCATCCCGTGAAAATAAAGGAGGGAGTACCATGAGACAAAGCCAGCTCAGCAGCATCAGATCCGTCTTGAAGACCACGCTGCGCTCTTCTTTGGGACTCCATGACGCCGTAGGGTCGAAGCGGTGGTATCCCTCGTAGGACTCGTGGGGCGGAGTCACGCCAGCGAGCTGGGACTGGCCCACGGCGACGGAGAGCTTGGAGGAATGGGTGTCGTCTCCTTCATCATCTTTGAGTTT